GAATGACAAGTGATAAGTAGGTCACCATGACCAACTCTCAGGTACTAATTGGCTTAGAATCATCTTGGGTTCTCAGAGTGTGAATTGGAATTTCAAGGGTTTATGTAAATATACAGGATACTTTGAGGCTTCAAATAGAAGTGATAGGTTGTACAGTTTATCAGAAGAGCGATTCAAGGCCCATGGGCCTCTTGTTATTTTCACAAATTACTGTTAGTGAAATATTTACAGCCCATTGATTACTATGTGTATATTTAAAATGCGTGACTGGGTACACTGTAAATCAAATTCATCAGACGCTCCAATAATTAAGTTAATCAAAATTTTAATAAAAGTAACTTTTGGTAGGTAAGTAAAGAATGTTACCTTCCTAAAAAATAAAAATAATGAAATAAATAAAAATTAGACTTAAAAACTTCCCTGATGATATGTAAACTAAACATTAATATTTTTAAAGAATTCAATGTTGAATCTTTTTTTTCGGGGGGGGGGGGGGGGGGAGTCCAAGTCCAAGTTCAATTTATTCATTCAAACCAAAGTATTGGTACATGAGTTACAAAATTAATAACATACAAACATATATACAGTAGTTAGAGGTACATGTACAATGCTACATCACGTCGAAGCGAAAAGAAATAAGGAAGATAATTCAAGGAGAAAAGACAGCAACGTAATTTCTCCTAATAATCACGAATAGTTTTTTTTCAGTCTTTTTTTTTTTTTTAGTAGTTCCGTATATAAGGAGAGTAGGGGCGTTACAGAGGCTCTTATTGTAGGAGTAAAAATTAAAAACCTAATCTAGTTAACCACTTCATTTAGTACTTTAATGTGTGAGTTCTAGAAAATTAAAATCTACCATTTTAAATTACTCTACACGTTTACATACATGTATATATACATGAAATAAGTTGAATCTCTTGACGAACGCTTATAAATTAGAATCCGTGTAAATACTTGAAAAAACTACTTGTTCATATTATTAATAGGATTAGGGTGTTTACGCGGCGTCAAGTCAAAAGTATCTCGCCGTGAACCCCTAGCATACTGAAGTACTGATATGGTGTGTACCGCAGATCTTAATTTTCAGCAACATAAGCACATGAAAGATCTAATTTTAATTAGATTTATAAACATCCGTGCTGGTTTTAAAAGTAATAGCTAAAACTTCTTTTTTTTAAGATAAATTCGATGATTTGAATCAAGCTAAATCTTTGATATTCAAAAAAAAATCTTTAATCGTAAATTGGCATTCTACAAACACATGAATCTCCGTCCTCGCAAACTACGATAATAAAATAATAGTTTATGACTTGTATGCTTTATATAATTAGCCATTTGTACCCAATAATTGCCGTTTACTGGGTATCCTTATATTTTGTCAATTAATAATTTATACATTCATTATAGATGACAAAAATAACGACTATTCATTTCGCGTAGGGGAAATGTCATTGTGACGTCACGATTTTCACCAGAAAGTCGATTGAAAATCTGACGCCATCCGATTTCCAATCGACTTTCAGATTTTGCTTTCGACTTTCGACTTGGGTGGTCACACGGTACGATTTTAGTCGAAAGCAAATCGAATGGAAAAATCGGATGGAAAATCGAATGAAAAATCGCATCGTGTGACCGCACCTTAAGGCTATTCTGTAAGCCTATTATGACGTCATTTTCAAATCACGTCACATTGTGCAGAGCAGGTACATTTTACATAATGTCATAGTGTCTGTACACATTTTATTGATTAACATAATTTTCTTTGGTTTTCCACTCAAAAATAGCACAAGTTACTATAAGTGGTCTTTGACTTAATTCTGCCCTTACGCATGCGTCAAAATTTAATTCGAATTAGCTTCGCTTAGCGTTCACACGGAGCTAATGCGAAGTAATTTAATGCGCAGTAAATTAATTCGAATTAACTAATTCGCATTAAATTCTCCGTGTGAACGCGGTTCAAATTTAATTCGCAGTAACTTACGTTTAATTCGAATTAAACTCTCCGTGTGAACAGGGCATAAAACGGACCTCCATTTATACGATCTCATCAGAAGGACCGGTCTTCACGTTCCGCAGTGGATTCGAACACGCGACATAAAAATCGACTCTTTAGGGCCGGTACACACGGTAAGGCTTGCCTTATAAGTCTTAAAACTTACGTTTTGCAAGCCGTACGGCTGTCATGTACACACGCTAAGGCAAACCCTACAAGATTATAAACAACATTACCATAATTTCCACGTGTTTTTAGTCCAAAACAATACATTCAATTTTCAACATGGAAGACGACGCTACTGGTGCAGTAGCAGTAGTTTTACTTGCAACTGCATTCGTGCGGCTTAAAAGAAGGAAAAGGTTAAATAGACGCATTTGGACGCGCCCCTGGATACAGAGGAGATCCCTGCATGGCGCACATAATGCACTCTTGCAAGAACTCAGCTTAGAAGACCCCGGCGCCTTCAGAAACTTCCTCCGCATGGATGAAGACTCATTTATGGAGGTATTACAGTTAGTAACTCCACACATAAAGAGACGAAACACAGTCATGAGAGATGCAATTCCACCGGCAGAAAGACTCTCTATCACATTAAGGTTTCTTGCAACAGGTTACAATTTAATTTATTTTTACAGATGTTCCATGAAATGTTCCATCTCTAAATCAATAAGTACAGCATTTATTTATTTATTTATTTACTTTTTTTTTTTGAAAATTTTACCAATTTTGTTAAACAATGTACAAAGATACTTGTAATGTGCTATAAATTTGTTAGTTTTTCTCTACAAGTATTAGTATTCTGAAGAAATGAAATCGATAAATCTCATGATATTATATTACAGGCGACACTTATCAATCTCTCGAGTACTTGTACAGAATTCCAAAGCAGACTTTGTCTACAATAATTCCAGAAACATGTACAGCAATTTATAATGTTTTAAAGAAAAAGTATTTGAAAGTAAGTTTTTCTTTATAGGTGTACACAGTTGTATGTATATGCTGAAAGTAGATATCATTTGAGGAATTAAGGATTTCACAGCTATTCAACAACTGATGTTAGTTTATTTTAAACAATATTTTATTGACGAAATTGACAAAGTTACAAATACACTAGTAATAAATACAATAGAATTGGGGAAACAAGCCATAAGGCTTATATTAATCCTTCTTTCTGCAAATTCAACACGTGAGAGATGAAACAAAATATAGTACTCAGAAAGAAAACGTTTCATACATATACATATTGTGAATAGTTTACGGGAATTGAAGTCGTTAAATCTCCAAAAATTCCAATTTTTACATAACAAAGTAAAAATTTACCTCACTCATTCATGCCACATCACAAATAGAATTTCAACTGAACAAAGATGAGACGAATAATGTCTTGTAGTAAAAAATATCAAGTGATTTGTTTTTAAAATCTAAAACTTTCAATCAGAAAGTTTTGAATTTCAAGAAAAATATTTTGGTTTTCCCTTTCTGAAAGATTTTGTGAACCATAAAGTAATATATCGACAGTTATATGATGAGGTATTGTAAGAATAGTTATATTACGCAATAAAATTATTACAATGGAAGAAAAATTGTTCGATAATTTCAGTCTCACTATATGGACATAGTGGAGAAATAAAAAAGATATCTACGAAACATATGTAAATTCAAAGAACTGCATTCGAGTCTGAGTTTCGTATGTAAAATTTGACCAAGCCTACTCCCAACAAATAAATAATTGGGTATTCTAGATAATTTAGAATTTAAGTATGATTTGAGACTCGAAAGGGATGGATTACATGTATTTTGAATCACCAAAGGTAATTTACTCCAAATACGTATTGTACTGAGAAAGAAGGAATTATAATACAGTTGAGTTCTAGTTTGAATTTCTTGTAGTGATTTTTCTTGTCTAGTGCTGTAACTTTGTCTATGATTCCCATAATCGGAGACAATATTAACTAAGTAATCAGGGGACTTTTTATAATGTATTTTGTGGAATTGAATTAAACGATGATTTTCTCTTCTTTTTGATAGGGTTTCCCATCCCGTCTCTTTGTAAAACAGGAATCTACCTGCCATTCTATTCCATCCCGTAACTATTCCAGCAGCTTCAAGTTGTTCAAGTTTAGCTACTAAATAGTCTGGTATATTATCCCAAACTATATCGGCGTATTAAAGTATAGGTCTCACAAACGAAAAATAGATATCCTGTCCAGTATAAATTTAGCTCTAGGCATCATTGTCAGGCGATTATAAGCTTTACCTATAATTTCTTCCACGTGTAATTTCCAGGATAAATTACTAGCAAATATGACTCCCAAATGCCTATGCGCATCTACTTCTCTTAAATTAACATCGTTAAATACAAGCAATTGATGAAATGGTTTTCGAGTTTTTTCTAGATATTGTTAAACACTCAGTTTTGGAAAGGTTGAAGGCTACAAGCCAGGTGTTTGACCACTCCTTGATTTTTGCAAGGTTGCGATTAATCAGATTAGATGAATAATATGCGTTCCCACAAAAACTCAAAGCGATGTATCATCCGCGAAAAGTTTTATTATACATTCTATATCTACTACCAGGTCATTTTTATAAATAAGAAATAGGAGTGGACCAAGAATGCTCCCCTGGGGAACACCAGCTTTAATATATTTTAGTTCCAATTTCGCTCCAATTATCATAACATGTTGCTTCCTTTTGTATAAATAGTTTTCAAACCATTTAAGCAATTTTCCGGAGATACATGTACATGTGTACCTATTTTTTCTAACTTGTATAGAAAGCCCCTATGTCACACTTCATCAAAAGCTTTACTAATATCACAGAACTCTAACCTCCTTTCCTTGATCAACAGCTTTATAAAAATCACTTGTAATACTCAACAATTGGTTGACCGTAGAGTCATTAGGTTTAAATATGATGTTCTTGTTGGACACCATTTCTATATCTCCCCTCTGCCAGAATAAACACAACTCTTATATAAGAAAAGTTCAATTCAAGTACAATTCTTTTATTCATCAAATTCTGTGGCCATTAATGAAGTCATCTGAGTTAATGGATTCATTGTATTTGTATCCGAAGAGGAATTAAAAGAATTTAAAGAAGCTAAATTTGAAGAAGTAACATTGCTGAATTGTGTATCAAAAATTAACTGTTGAATTTTTATTTTCAACAAAGATTTTTTTCTGAGATCTTTAATTTTCCTGAGCTCATTCGCAATAAGTTTTGCAAATACAGAGTCCTCATCCTCAACATCTGTTTTTCGCTCTTGAATGCTTGACAAAGCAGAAACAGCCCTCTCCATGACTTCCTCGGGCAGGTTTCGTTTCTTCTTTCTTTTAGTCGGAGTTTCTAGTTCTTTGTCATCATTTTTTTCATCATCTTCATCATTGTTTTGGGAGGTATTACTGATATCCTGCAAAACAAATTTTGTCAATTTTTAAAATTTCATTTAGGTTCCATCAACACCAGAAGAATGGGAACGTATTGCCGAGGATTTTGAAAGCAAATGGAACTTTCCGAATTGCATCGGGGCTATTGATGGCAAGCACATTACCATCAGAAATCCTGTGGGGAGCGGATCCCGCTTTTTTAATTACAAAGGGTTTTATAGTATAGTGTTAATGGCTGTTGTTGATGCAGATTATAAATTTATTTATATAGACATTGGCTGCAACGGAAGAATAAGTGACGGGGGTATTTTTGCAAGATGCTCACTTCATGAACGCCTGGAAGCTTCTAAAATGTGCATACCACCATCAAAGCCACTGCCAGGACGTCGGAATGCAGTACCCTATGTTATTGTTGGTGATGAGGCTTTTCCCCTCAAGCCCTATTTACTTAAACCCTATCCATCACGACAACTTGATGAACCCAAGCAAATCTTTAACTATAGACTTTCTAGAGGGAGACGGATAGTAGAAAACGTGTTTGGCATACTGTCTAACAGGTTTGCAATTTTTCAGACACCTATTGCACTGGACATAGAAAAAGTTGAGGCTATTGTATTGGCAGCATGTGCACTTCATAATTTTTTAAGAACAAAGTCTCAGGATGTATATATGCCCATAGGAAGTACCGACTGTGAGGATTTTGAAAAAAGCAATATTATTCAAGGTGATTGGCGCAGGGGTCCAGTTCCCCAAGGTAACTTTATTGCTTTGTCAAGTCAAGGTGGAAACAGAACAAGTATAGGGACAAGGGAAATTCGTGACGAATTTTGCGATTATTTCTTCACAAACGGACAAGTGGCCTGGCAGTGGGATAAGACAAATTGAGTCAATTTATGTAAATATATGATAGATTTCTATAAGATATAGGTAATAAAACAATTGTTACCAATGTGCTCATTGATTGTCTTGGAGTGATTTGTTCTCTTAGGAAGCTGTCCAAGGTTGCAAAAAATGGCCACTTTGACGTGTATAGATCACTAATTCCAGATCCACTTTTTTTGCTTGACCTCATTTTCTTTAATTCGTTGGCATAGTAACATCTCAGGCTCTGCAGCTTGCAATTAATTTGAGTGACTATAATGAGGAAATTAAACAATATAGTTTTTTAATGTTTCAAACCATGATAATAACCCACAATGTAAAATAATATAAATTCATAAAACAAATAAAGCATTCTGGTATTCTCTCTTTCTCTCTCTATATATATATGGAGGGTTTACATAAATTTGAGTCTATTTAATTGTTCACATTACAAAATATATAAACTAGAGATTTGTGTCTTTTTACATATCGAGCTTTTATTCCCGTCTATTGCTTTCCTCAATCAAGTAAACAAATTTAAAATGACTGATAATCAATCTAAATTGTCCATCATTATCAGTATCATCACCTGTCCCGTGAGCTCTCTTTGAATGCAGTTTTGCTGTTGTAAATCTTGAAATGAAAAAAGATATAAATAAAAGAATGCACACCTGTAAAATCCATCTTCATGTCTTTTTTAAGATTTTCTTTTATTCTAGAAAGGGAAATGTTCCTAGATTCTTTCTTATGACATGCCTCGCTAGATACATTCCAGAGACTTTCCTCTTCTTCCCACAAATTAACGAGTTTTCCCACGACCTCGTTTGTAAAGACGGCCATTGTATCTTTCGAATACCCCAAATCTAGCCACGTGTTCGGTTTGATAAAAATAGGCTGACACTTGGGTGAATGATTTTCATTGGTTAACAAGGAAAGGTCAGCTAAATCTTGTATTAAGAAATAGAGCAGTGCTCTATTCGTAAGTCAGACTTGTAAGGCTGGGAAAAACGTGTATTAAGCGTGTACACACGGTAAGGCTAGAACTTAAGTTTCATGACTTGTAAGGCAAGCCTTACCGTGTGTACCGGCCCTTACTCAGCCAGTCTAACCACTAAACATCTGTTACTCCTGATTTTAACAAGTGGGAATTTCGCAAACGATGCCACCAGATTTGGATTATAGATATGTTCATTTGAAAGTCCTGAAAGTTCTTCAAGTTATAGATGCTTTATAGGCGTGTTTCTTCAAGAAATCTTTTCAAAACCAATGTTTGCGAACCAAGGAGAGTAAATCATACAATGGAATACAGAACAAAACACTACAATGGTAATATAAAAATGCATGTAGTGTTGGATATACTTAAAATATTCTGATAAAAACAAATCAGATAAGGATGTGGCATATTAACTGAACATTCTGCAAGGGATTGAAAAATTGATCCTTTTTATTCCTGTAACACATATTCATCTCCTCTGCTCTAGTGCAGTTTGTTCTTCTCCCGCGTCCTTCTCACTGAAAGACTTTGAGGTTAACAATAATAACCTATTTTAATTTAAAATTCATATTTGTTGGCAGATTTACTGCAGCAGTGCATTGCCCGTAACTTTTGGTAATCTTCACATTAATTGACGAATACTCAACCAATATATGGTATACCTATATTGGCAGTTGTTCCTATGTGTTAGATTAGAACTTAAAGAGGGATCATCAACATAAAATATGTAGTCAATATAAGAGGCATCATTGTTTACTTTCTTATGCTCTTACATTGAGAACTTTAAATTCCAACATATAAGACGATTGAATTCCATATTTAATTCTAGGTTTTAAGTAAAATTGAACATAACTATAAATATATAATTGAAAAGCCGTATGACATAAGTGATAATTTAAAAACAGTGGAATTTGTTTTGCAGGAATGATTTAGACCAGAACGGTCTCCACCAGCACCAACTGAACATTAAATGACAATTGTTAATTTTGAGAAAAAAAAGTTACTAATTGTTACATTAAAAGTTTCAAATCTCACATTTTAAGCATATCTACAGCAAGATTTTTATAGATAAGTTTAAATTGATAAAATGGAAACTTTTTACTAATGTAACACAATGACCAGGTCTAGCATCTTCGTCGACATCAAATTCTTACAGGAAATCACTGTATCCAAAGACTCGATGTCAAATTATGCATCCTGCAACTAGAGCCACGCTAAAGAGTCAGGTGTCTTTTATAAATGATAACAATAAAGGCAAAAATTTTGCAGAGTTGAAAGAAGAATCTCAATTTAATAAATCTACTACAGAAGTATCTAAATATATGAGTGTATTATCATTAACATATTGAGTCCGATAAGTTATTTTTTCAAATACATCCAAATAGTGATCAGATTTCCACAAAATTAGAGTATAAACTACCAGGGAAATTAGTGTATTAACTGCCAGAGGAACTAGTGTGTTAACTGCCGGGGAAATTAGTGCATTAACTGCCAGGGCCCATGCTTTGTTTTTTGTTTTTGTTTGTTTGTTTTTGAATTAGTACTTTTGTCCTTTTGTCTCAATTATCCAAGTACAGCAGCACTTAATGTACTGGGTAGGTAGTACACTAGGATTCTGAACATTTAAGGCATACTGGTACATGTAGCATAATATCTTCATTATAAGAATTGTACGTGGTCAACCTTAACATCACCCTCTATAACCAGAGTCTGGAATCTCTCGTTTGGATGAAGTCGATGGTAAAATAAATATGTATGTTTATTTACAATTATCTGAAAAATAAAAGCACATAGTCAATTAAACAATGTCAGCACAAGAAAGATCAAAACCGACTTATTCCTAAGTGAGAAACGTATGAAAAGTCATTCGTTTACTAGTATTTGAACGTGAATGAACATGAAGGCAATCAATTGCAAGAAACGTAAAGAATAAGACGTTAACAGTAACTGCCCATCAAGATTTTGATCAATTGAGATGAACTATTTTATATAGTTTTTTTTTTATCCGTTCATTTCAATGTACACATAACTACTGTAAACTGATTTGAATGTTTTTAAAATGAATAAGTATATATAATATTACTATTTGATCAAGTGTATAAACTAAAATTCCCCCCTCTCTCTCTCTCCAATATTTACCTCATAATGATCCTCCCTGAAAATGATGTCCATTGTAAACATTTCGTTTGCTTCAAAAGGAAAATCGTCTTTTTCTCTAATCTCTTGCCCCCAGCAACCGAAACTACGAATGTTCATTATGACAATGCCGGAGTCCATTCCCCAGTGAATTATTGGGTTGAAAAACAGTCCCACGTCCACTTGTGAAGAGTCAGTTAACTGGACAGAAAATCTAAAGTATGAATCAACAGAATTTTGAGCAGGAGGATGTTGTAAAGATATATATGGTGCCACATATTGTTTAACTTCTTCAGATATTTAAAACTCTATTTTTCAAGAAATTCGCCTTCACTTTGAATATTGTGAATGAGTTTCAAAATGAAAATCCAGAATCAAAGACACTTATTTCAATTATTTGAACAGTTGTGAGCAGTTGCAGTTTTTTAAAGTAAATACGGTCAATGTCTTATTCGATTAAAAATGGCGAACTTACTTATGGTGACCCGCCACGCCTTCAATAGTTATGCGTCTCCCAGCTGTAGCCCCTCCAGGAACCATGGCTGAGAATGGCAAAGCCTAATAAAAAAAAAAAGAGGCCCATGGGCCACAACTCTCACATGAGAATGGCTCTGATGTTTACAGTAGATTTATTAACTACATGTATATATATTCTTTTGTAAAACTTTGATCGCCTAATGTGGCCCCACCCTACCCCGGGGGTATGATTTGAAAAAATATTGAATCTACACTATCTAATACTTCAGTATCGATATGACTGATCATGCCTTTGATGTTCTTGAAAAGAAGACTTATAAAGATTGATTCTTATATTTTGTGTGTAAAATTTTGATCGTCCTCTGATGCCCCCAACCTACCCGGGGGTCATGATTTGAACAAAATTGAAACTAAACTACATGTACCTGAGGATGCTTCAATTATCAATAGGACTAATCATGCCTTTGATGATCTTGATACTAATATTTTTAAAGATTGATTCCTTTATTTCGCATGTAAAATAACGATCGTCCACTGTGGCCCCACTCTAACCGGGGGTCATAGTTTGAACAAATTTGAATATACACTACCTGAGGATAGTTCCATATCAATATGATTAACCATGCCTTTGCTGTTCTTGAGAAGAAGATTAATTTTTTAAAGATGCCATTAAATTTCCATTAATTCTTTAAAAAATTACCCCCCTTGAAAGAGGGTGTAGCCCTTCATTTGAACAAACTTGAATCATCTTTACCAAAGAATTCTTTGTCGCATTTGGTTGAAATTGGCCCAGTGGTTCTGGAGAAGAAGAAATTGTGGAAAGTTTACTACGACGCTGACAAAAGAAAATGGACAATTTTTTTCTCAGGAAAGCTCACATTGGCCTTTTGCTCATATTTTAATCCAGTTCGACGAATGTAAAGATTTGGTATCATTTATCATTTCTTACTGACGATTACTTAACAAAAAACTTTTGACTTGCATGCATACAGGCCCATAGAAGGCGGGGGGGGGGGGGGCATGAGGGGACTTTATTCTGAGTATAGCATTTTACTATCATAGTAAAATTTCCTTTAGATGCTGTCCCCCCACTTTTTGATGTTGTAAGGCCGAGCACTGGCAAATTCCAGGATTTGGATAGTAAATTAGCTTTTTTTCTGCTTTTCAGATAATTTTGGGACCCCCCCCCCCACTTTTGGTCAGTTTAGGTTTTTTTATTTGGCTTGTCAGATTTTTGGGGGAAGTTGCCCCCCCCCCCCCACACACAAACACACACTTTTGAAACCGCTACGGGCCTGGCATAATCTCTATGCCCGCAAGATCGATATGCCTGAGATGGGTTGGGATTGTTACGGTATAGGCCTGCTGTCTAATTTATTCGTTTAGCGTAGGCAACCATACTCCAAATTTCGGAGGAAGTGGGTTTTATCATAGCTTCTTGTATTTCGATCGTTTTCAGATTCAAATTAATTCGTTGCCTGTAAAATTAGAGTATAGTTCTATATTCATTTTGGGGGGACATCGATTTTTTTTTTGGTTGAATTTCAACATAAAGATATATTTGGGGAGAATGCAAACCAAGGATGGCTTTAGAGGAACATTTCTGATAAATATCATTATGTGTTTAAACAATAACTAAATCTGTACAAGCTGTTTAACAAATTTCTACAGCATATATTTTAGTATCCAATGTCTTTGAGCTAGTTTTAGGGATAAAAACTTTAAGGTAACGGAAGGACTTAAGATCTATGCAAGGTTGTTGTAACTCATTTGTTTCAATTACGAATTTATTTTTGCTTATGAGTTCACTATTTCTTAAAATAAAATTCAATATTTACCGGTCTGTAGATATGAAAGGAGTGTCTCTTTTCGTTGGGTCGCCTTGGCGGCGGCTGGTAACCTAGCTGGAATCCAGAGGCTGGGTACCCATAGGCTGAATCAAGTGGTACAGGAGACATTGGATACGATACATCCGGGTAACTATCGTCTGTTGGAAGCTCCGGAGAACCGTCCTCATCCGTTTGCCATCTTTCTGGAAGATCATCGTCAAATTCCTGAATTTCTGGGCCATCCGGGTAGTGCACCTTTTGCTTTTTCATTCTGTTCTTTTTGGAGAAATTTGACGAGTCATTTCAATTCCTTCACTGTACATTTTTAAGGTATCCTCGAATATTTACTTAAACATGCGTGCCTCGTCACTTTGTTTTGAATCAATGCCTTCTCGTCCCTGGCTTCAAAGGTAGGACAAATTAAATGTTTATATACTGTAAAGTTTATTAATACGTAGATATCTCATTGTTGTATTTGTATACCCAATGAATGTACATCTGTAAAGTTGTAAAGACTGACACAGAATGGAGATATTTAAAGATGAATAGTGTTGGGTCGTTAATCGAACTTCTTAGTGCAACTAGCGGTTTAAAGGTATCTTATCCCATCTTGATACTACAATCATGATTTTAGATTTTTATTTATTAAGTTTATTAACGAACTTTTTGTACTGTATAACGTAAAATTTGCATATGTTTCAAGAACATGTACAATATCTTTTGATAAAAAAAAGTCTCCAATCCTCAGCGCATTATATATGTATGTGCATTTGCAACATTAATTTTTTTTTCATTAGGCCTATCCATTTTCCTTACTTTTGCCTGTATTTCGACAGAGAACAATACACAGGAATATATAGTTTCCTTTATTTCCCGTAGATTGCTTATATTTAGGAAAATACCGGTAGGTAACATCAGTATTGAGATGTAATTTTTTCTCTCTCTCACTCTCTCATACACATTCATTTCTTTCGAAATGAGGTCTGTGAAGTCTGAAGTAACATTAAAAAAATATATAAATAAAAAATAAAGGTCTATTATCGGCAGAATACTTTATATGAATATGAAAGTTCAAAGGAACAAATGTGAAACTTTTCCGATGAAAAGTTGAAACTTTCTGAGTGACCACATTTTGTGCCACATAACGTTATGAACAGAACTACGATGTACATATATACTCATATTTACATGATCAACACGTCATTAAATATTTTGATATATTTCTCAATATATTATATAGAGATAACCCGGGCTTTTACAAAGCCATATCAGCCCACGTGTGCATGTAAATGCCCGGGGACTACTTTTGCGTTTGCAATTGCAATATATTTTTCTCTCTCCATCACATTGATCACATCACATACAGTTAAATTTGACGTTACAAATATCCTTTACTCATAAGGATGTTTATGACCAGAAATGCAGAGAAAATAAGAGTAGAAAACGTGTACTTGCATTAAAATATGTAATAAAGGTTACTGACTGAATATCGGGAAATATGTCCGTCCTCGGTCTTTGCGCGGATGTGGGCCTCACAAGCGTCAGTTCGCTCTCTTCTTCCTTTGTCGGGCCTTGTGGGCATCATCGCACTAGTTCTAGGTTTAAAAGGGACACAGGCGCAGGGGGAAGTTCTCTACCGGTATTTACAATTTAATGACTGGTTAAAAGTACTGTTATCTAATTTTTACTGATCTTTGCCAACCCTTACTTGAACAAGTCAAGGGACTAGGCTCCTGTGACACTATGTGGCAATGTGTTGGGAAAAAAGATCCTTTGAAAGCGTTTGTTTTGGCAAAAGGGATCTGCAGTCGATGCTGATGGCCTTTTATAGCAGCGCCAATGGGATGGAAGAAAGGTAAAGTTTGAATGGCTACCAGAGAGTGTAAGATCTTAATTGTATACCAACACTGCTTTTGCTGCTTGTCTGCGTTGTTGTGATTCCCATCTCAGATGCTGAATCATAGTGGTGACACTTCTGGTGGTCTGGCAGTCATTCAGCACAGTCGTTTGAAGCCCTGCGCTTAACTCTCCAGCTTATTGATGTTGCTCTGTATATGGGGGTTCCACAAAGAACAAGCATGTTCCACTTGAGGTCTGACCATTGATGTGTAGCACACATCCTTGGTTTTCCGAGGACATGATGGAAGATTCCTACTGAGAAGGGCTGTGGTGGAGTTTGGCTTCTTACACACCTGGTCTATGTGGTGATTCCAGCTAAGATTGTTGGTAATAGTTACACCCAGGTACTTGGCTTTTCGGGTCATATTCAAGACCTGGTTGTCGATAACATAGTTTCCCTGGATGATTTTCCTTTTCCGTGTATTGCGAATATTAATAACCTTGCATTGTATGTCAGGGTTAAATGCCATTAACGAATTTCTTTCCCATTCCTGGAGATTATCTATGTCCCGTTGTAGCACTACTGGCGTCTGAATCTTCTAATATAGGAGACAGTCATCTGCAAAGAGACGAGCTTTTAACTTCACTTGTGTAGGTAGGTCGTTGATATACACAAGGAATAGCAGTGGACCTAGCACAGTTCCCTGAAGAACCGCGCAAAGACCACGGGCGGGCATATTTTGCAATACTCGGTAAAAAAAAAAATCTATTATTAAGATTCTGCAAGTTTTTATCACATATTTGCACAATATTTTTTTTTCTGTAAACACACTATTCTACGTCTGTAGTTACCGTGTTCCTTCTCATGTCTTCATGAAGTTGCATGCACGACTACAAAACCGACTCTAAAAGATTTTGACATATTCCATTTAAATTCATCAAATATTTTTTTTTCACTTTCTTGTTTAAATCATAATCTTTGATAGCAGAATAGGTGGGATGTTTTATCCTTTGAGAAATCAATCATTTAATTTGATTTATTGCTTTTTATTGCTATACCATCGATAGTGCTTTTTTCACATTAACATTTCCTTTATTTTGAATTGCACTCTCGGAAATAAAATCACAACAAGAGACTTAAATTATAATCTGTTTAATCAATTCACTATCTGTGTAAACCAGGAAACACATATATAACAAATATAATCAATACACTTAACTACATGTATTAGCAAGCTCTGAAAACTTTTGGATGAAATTACAACATTTAAGATTTTAGTTCAGAAGCATAAACACAAACAAAATCCATAGTACCTAGACATAAATTTGTTACACCAATAACCCCCGACTACTTTGTATTTTTTTTAAAAAGTCTATATGAAGGACAGAAAAACGGAGACAAATAGTGAACAATGATAGGAATACATCACTAAAATCGTCCATTTACATCACATTTCTACACTTTCTCCACTTTGCGCGGATGTGGGCCTCACAAGCGTCAGTTCGCTCTCTTCTTCCTTTGTCGGGCCTTGTGGGCATCATCGCACTAGTTCTAGGTTTAAAAGGGACACAGGCGCAGGGGGAAGTTCTCTACCGGTATTTACAATTTAATGACTGGTTAAAAGTACTGTTATCTAATTTTTACTGATCTTTGCCAACCCTTACTTGAACAAGTCAAGGGACTAGGCTCCTGTGACACTATGTGGCAATGTGTTGGGAAAAAAGATCCTTTGAAAGCGTTTGTTTTGGCAAAAGGGATCTGCAGTCGATGCTGATGGCCTTTTATAGCAGCGCCAATGGGATGGAAGAAAGGTAAAGTTTGAATGGCTACCAGAGAGTGTAAGATCTTAATTGTATACCAACACTGCTTTTGCTGCTTGTCTGCGTTGTTGTGATTCCCATCTCAGATGCTGAATCATAGTGGTGACACTTCTGGTGGTCTGGCAGTCATTCAGCACAGTCGTTTGAAGCCCTGCGCTTAACTCTCCAGCTTATTGATGTTGCTCTGTATATGGGGGTTCCACAAAGAACAAGCATGTTCCACTTGAGGTCTGACCATTGATGTGTAGCACACATCCTTGGTTTTCCGAGGACATGATGGAAGATTCCTACTGAGAAGGGCTGTGGTGGAGTTTGGCTTCTTACACACCTGGTCTATGTGGTGATTCCAGCTAAGATTGTTGGTAATAGTTACACCCAGGTACTTGGCTTTTCGGGTCATATTCAAGACCTGGTTGTCGATAACATAGTTTCCCTGGATGATTTTCCTTTTCCGTGTATTGCGAATATTAATAACCTTGCATTGTATGTCAGGGTTAAATGCCATTAACGAATTTCTTTCCCATTCCTGGAGATTATCTATGTCCCGTTGTAGCACTACTGGCGCCTGAATCTTCTAATATAGGAGACAGTCATCTGCAAAGAGACGAGCTTTTAACTTCACTTGTGTAGGTAGGTCGTTGATATACACAAGGAATAGCAGTGGACCTAGCACAGTTCCCTGAAGAACCGCGCAAAGACCACGGGCGGGCATATTTTGCAATACTCGGTAAAAAAAAAAATCTATTATTAAGATTCTGCAAGTTTTTATCACATATTTGCACAATATTTTTTTTTCTGTAAACACACTATTCTACGTCTGTAGTTACCGTGTTCCTTCTCATGTCTTCATGAAGTTGCATGCACGACTACAAAACCGACTCTAAAAGATTTTGACATATTCCATTTAAATTCATCAAATATTTTTTTTTCACTTTCTTGTTTAAATCATAATCTTTGATAGCAGAATAGGTGGGATGTTTTATCCTTTGAGAAATCAATCATTTAATTTGATTTATTGCTTTTTATTGCTATACCATCGATAGTGCTTTTTTCACATTAACATTTCCTTTATTTTGAATTGCACTCTCGGAAATAAAATCACAACAAGAGACTTAAATTATAATCTGTTTAATCAATTCACTATCTGTGTAAACCAGGAAACACATATATAACAAATATAATCAATACACTTAACTACATGTATTAGCAAGCTCTGAAAACTTTTGGATGAAATTACAACATTTAAGATTTTAGTTCAGAAGCATAAACACAAACAAAATCCATAGTACCTAGACATAAATTTGTTACACCAATAACCCCCGACTACTTTGTATTTTTTTTAAAAAGTCTATATGAAGGACAGAAAAACGGAGACAAATAGTGAACAATGATAGGAATACATCACTAAAATCGTCCATTTACATCACATTTCTACACTTTCTCCACTAAAGAAGATAAAAATATATAGTCTTTTCTAGTGGGTTTTTGATTCATATTGCAATTGCACAGTAAAATGGCAGATCATGTATTTCAAAATGATTGTAATATATATACAATATGTTTAAAAAAAAATGACTTTCACACAAATTTTATCAAACTAGTATTCGAAGGTAAAGCTAGATATGATAGTCAACATAGGCAGTAACTTTAATCATTAAAATCAAAAATATAGGCTACAATAGCAACTCTACTAGTTTAGGCTTTAAAAAGATCCTCAAAAGATAGTAAGTGCATATAACAGTACCCACATGAACTTTTGACATGAAATTTTTTGTCAATATTTTAAGTAATTGTAGCACTGCCTTTCATCAACATTACACCTGATGCACAGAATCAAGTATCAAGATGTAAAAAAAAAAAAGGGGGGCACAATATTCTAATTAAGGATCAGAAGCATTTAAATCAATCTGATAGTTAATTCTAATTTTACCAAAAGTGCTTAAGGAGGTTGGATCCTGCCATCAAAAGTAATGAGAATTTTTTATCAAGTATATTTTTAGAATTTATACACATAGCTTTATTAAAAATCAAAACAAACTAGAACTGTCCAAAAGGGACAAATACCCCCCGCTGGATTTTTTCAGAGAAAGTACCAAATCACTAAGAGAAATATGATTTACGACGGGACGTATTATGTTATAGCGTTCATGTTTGTCCGTCCGTTAGCTTTTTCATGTCTGGCTCATAACTTTAATACTATTAGGCCTAGAATTATCAAACTTTGTCAGCTGATACATCTAGGGTAGGTGTGTCGCACATTAAAACCATGTCGTTCTGACCTTTTAATAAAGACACTATGGCCAAATATGGAAAAATCATAACTAGAAAACCATTAGACTTAGAATCAAAAAACTATGTCTTTTAATTTTTAAATTACACAATCCCAAAAGATGTCAGAGTATTGCAGTATCTTTATTAAAAAAGTGTTAAATCAAGAAAATACTAGTCTTATTTTTTTCATTATGTTCTTTACAGCAATCTGTAACAACAAAAATTCCACCTCTCCCATGGGTGTAATGATCAGGCACTGGTCAAGGAAAATTTTGATAGCAGAAAATTGCATGTCAAATTAGAGATAAATTAATGAGTTTAGTGTGAGGAGATAACTGGCAGAGCATCTCTGATCAAGCAGGTGTTATCTACATCTCTTGGGAAATGGGCAAAAGGAATCAGTCTCTTAATTAATTGCTTTTGTTGTATTGAATTGTTCTTGTTGGCTAGTCTTACTTTCAAGATAAATTTGATGTAATTAAAACTAATTTGATATTGTATATAATAATTAAAACTTATATGATATTGTATAATATAATTTAAACTAATTATTTTATATTGTACATTTTTTATTTGAATTTTTATATCTTTACAACAAATTGCAGACTGCCTTGTCTCGCAAAGATGTCATTCAAACAATTGAATCTAAACTGTTTCTGATAATTTAACAATATTTGATGGGCATATCATGCTGTGGTGGGGCACTTTATTAAATGAATGAAACTAAGGTGCAGCCTAATAAAACATCAACACTAATAATTACAGTGTTTTTTATTACATTGAAAAAAAAGTTTGCAACTATCTGCCATCTTCGTGAGACATGACACACTGCAAATTGATTGTTGAAAAAAAATATCATAATTAATTATAGAAAATCAAATTGATTTTAATACCTTTATATCAAACTCATTTTAAAAATAAAAGGCTGGTTTTAGTAACTATGTATTTTGACAGACATAAATTACAATTAAGAGACTTAGACAACAGAGATCTTTATTTCTTTCTGCCCAATTCCCCCGAGATATAGATAAGACCTGCTTGATCAGAGATGCCCTAACAGCTTCCCACACTGAACTCATTAATTAATCTTTAACTGGATGCATGTCCACTCATTACTCCCAAGGGACAAATGGATTTACACTATCTGCTGTGTAATGTAAAAACTGTTTTTAATACTTTGTGTTTGTTTTTTTTAGTTCTAATGAGTAGTTTTAAGCTGTAGTTCACATTTTTGTACAGATGTCCTAGATTCTATGTCTGAAACCATAGACATGAACCCGAAATGACTAAGTCAATAAAAATAAAATTAAAAAAAAAACACCTGTAAAATGCAGAAAAATTATCAAATAATGTTGAAAATACCAGGTGCACATCTTCATATGGTAAATAATAAGTGTACAAATTTTCATACAAATCTATGCAATAGTCTCTGGGAACAGATCCAGACAAAACCTCATAATAAAAATGAAAAAAACACCTGTAAAATGCAAAATAATTATCCAATCATAATGAAAATACCAGGTGCACACCTTCATATGGTGAATAATAAGTGTACAAATTTTCAGACAAATCCTTCCAACAGTTTCCAAGAAATGGTCCGGACAAAATCTCGTCTACAGACAGACGGACAGACGGACAGACAGACGGACAGACAGACGGACATGCCGATTCCAATATACCCCCCCTAAACTTCGTTTGCGGGGGGTATAAAAATGGGGGTCAATGCACTTCCTTTGGCGCTACAGAGCATTTAGTTTGACCTTTTTGCACTGTAAATACGTCTTGCACATAAATCAATTTTTAAAGTTTTTCCTCCAATATTTTTTGTTCAAATAAATTATGGGAACAAAAACAGTCTTATTTCATCTGAAATAGACACATTAAAATTTGTGACAATGAAGAAATTTTCAAATTACTCCGCATGTTCAATTATTTGACTTTTTTGCACTATAACATTTTCATTTTTCTGGCATTAAAAATTTAACAAGCAAAAAAATCATCTGAAAGTAATGACATTTTACTGAATTTAAGATTAATGGTTAAAAGTATCGTATATATTCAGAAAAGAAAATTGAAAGTGAGGGTCTGTGATGTTAATTTTTAGATATAACTAAAATAGTGCTAATTTTAAGCTTAAATTAGGACTATTTTTTTTTCTTCATTTTCACAAAATATTTGCTATATTTATCAAATATGATGATAGAATTCATGACAGTTTATCTAATAGATAATTTAGGACCAGTATAAAACAGTCCACTGCACAAAATAACTATGTGTGCAGACTGCATGTAAAAAAAGGAATCCAAACTTAACATACTTTGAATACTTTGAAAGAGAAAAAATGATCATTTTCTTCTAAGAAAACCTTCCGCCACAAAATATAGTTCCTCAGTTAATGCTTTTGGTATGGAATTTAATCGTGTAGTTTTAACTGAATATAGTTAAATTGGCATTGTAGAATCCAAATTTATTGTAAGAATTAAAACATTATGCAGAATTTTTGAAATATAGGTTAAGATAAAAATCTGCTCAAAAGCTCAGGAGCGAACCTCGTTAATAAGCTTTATTGAAATTCAGTCAAATTTGCATGTAAAGAAAAATTGTATCCACATGAATGTACATTTACATTGCACAATTTTTATTCAAATCAATTAAATCCTCAAAAGGAGTAGCATTTTAAAAAGATAAAATTAAATTTTATTTATTTAATTTTAGTATCTACATCAAGAACTTTAATTGAAATTTAAAACATGTATCTTTATGAAGTAGACCACTGCAGTTTAAAAATTCATCTCAATCAGAAAAAACTAGGATGAGTAGCATTTTGAGAAGTTGTTTAGACAAATAGACGAAGACCATTGTTTCAATGCATACGCTGCTCCGTGTCTATGATTCATTACAGCAAATAATGAAAGTTCATTATCATAAAACTTAAAGAAATCATAATTAGCTTTTCTATAGAAAAATCCAATTCTTACAACCTACATGTAGCTAAAGTATTCCAACAGATAAAAAACACTTCTATAATCAATTACCGCAGTAGAATGCCTCTACACCAGTGTTTCATGTATTTTATGAATATACAAAACAAAATTAATTAGCATTGCAGAAATAAAATGCCATTAATAATAAAATTAATATAAAAGTACAATGTCCACTTTGTCACAGCCTTTCTACTTTAGAAAACATAAGAAATGCAATAAAGTATCTCACTACTTACATTTATATGTATATAATACTATATATAAAAATCAAACATTATATTTAAAATTTGATAAAATATTTTCAAATCTTACTTTAATAATAGTTTTGTTTCAACATAACATTGAGACAGCTACATGATATTATGTTTGATGATGGTCCCATATACAAAGTTCAAGAAAAGGTTACACAGTAATCAATGGCAGAAATGGTTAGAGTTATATCATGGCAAGAAATGACAATACAAATAAGCAAAAAAATCTTTTAACATGCAGACAAAATCCAATAAACCATTATACATGTATAATTAACGTAAAGGTCAATGTGGTTAAACATGGAAAAAGCAAGAAGGACAAGGAAGCAATATTATAATCTGCTAGATTTAAATGACTAAAATGAAGTTGCAAAATGATCTTAAATTGTCAATCAAAATGAACTAGCATGTACTAAATTTTGACTGATTTTGTGGAGAATTCATCACCATTTCTTTGGACTGTACTTGATCATTAGCAAGGTCTCTTCTGCTGATCACTGAAATCGGATCTGTGTGACCTTGATATCACCAAGGATACCAAGATACTGAAAACGCCCTAAAGGCTGCAGACGGTGCTGGTACTCAATGAAGTGTTTCCCATCTATGGCAACCTGTGTATAATTAACTATATATATATATATATATATATATATATATATATATAAAGCTAAAGATTTACGAGAAATATGAATAAGGCAGAGTTTTGAAATCTCAACTGCATGGTAAAAGCAAGAAAAGACTGCAAAATGTAAGTACCGGAAAAAGAAAAGTTGTACATGTATCTATGGCGAGGTTATTGTCAACAATGTCAAGGTCATGCGTCTTATTTTTAGCATGAAACTTGTAAACAACATTGAATTGGAACAATCAGAAGTGAGGAATAAGTTCTGATCATCTTTTATGAAGATTATATCAAAATACTTGGTCATCCAACATTTACATCTATGGAATTGACCCCATGATAACTTCAACTTTTCTGTGCATGCATACCTTAAAGAGGAAGAGGTGAAGCAATATTTTTGTGTTGGAGCAAACTAAAATTATTTTTACTTTTATTTTTCTCCATAAAAATAGATTTTTTAGGTTCTGAAACCTGTAATTTTCTGAAACCTAACACTTTCAAGAATCGAATAAAATTTGCATGTATCTTGCAAAATTCTACTTTTGTCAATTTTTCCGTCAGGGTGTCTCTTTACGATATGAATTCAGACCTGTTTACCCATCTTGTTGACTCTGAGTATTTTTTATTAGATTTGTCAGTGAGATTTGGCATTTGCCCGTAAGATTTCACTTTCCATCGATTTTACATATATTACTAGAGAACAAGTATATGTGCATTCTGATTACCAAAACATGGTTTAATAACAAAGAAAAACATCAGAAATTGCTTTCTTGCGAAGGGTGTCTGTCATTTTTTGAAAACACTGCGATTTGGCAACCTGACATCACTTAAGTGTTTGAAATCTATCTCATTTTTTAGCGATTAAAAAGTGTCAAACTAAGACAGATCATAACTAAAATTAACAGCTAAAATCCAAACGGACGGATTTCCAATTTCCGTATTTTTATAATAGCAAAACGTGAGACGTATTTTGGACTCAAAATCTGTACAAAATACGAAATCGTAAGAGTAAACAGATCAGTGAATTTGATTTTTGAGAATTCATGAGGACATGATCGAACTATGATGCTTCACACAGGCATATTTCGTTAGCACTTCATGATAAATATGCAGGCATGAAGCACTGTAGTTTATATACCTCAGGAATTCTCAAAAAATTAAATTCATATCTTATATTTTATACATTATTTTCTGATGACTTGCCATATATTTTTGTTATTCAACAATCATTTTTGAAAAAAAAAATTGCACTATATTTTTACTCCAATTACATCACAATGGAAATATTCTTACTCATATTCCATGGTAGTTCATGAGAACGTGAACTTTTTCTAATTTTCAAAGAATCTTAAGGAAAAATATTTGGAAATGTAAATATTGTGAAATAAACTATACTGTATTACATGTGAACTTTTTCTAATTTGCAAAGAATCTTAAGGAAAAATATTTGGAAATGTAAATATTGTGAAATAAACTATACTGTATTACATGTAGAAGTTACTTTTTATTATACTGCAGATGTATTTTATTTGCACCTGTGTATTTTTTTTTATTATTTTTTACACATTTTTAACAGCATACAAAGTGTAAAGGTGACAGTACAGGTAAACTGTGTGGTTTAAAAATGGACTACAGACAACAGAAATATAAATGCATGCATTTCTGATTTTAAAAAATAACTTGTTAAAATTAATACTTCTTGTTCAGTGTTGGACTTAGCTTCGTTGTTTTTTCCAAGACATGAAAATACAAAATGCAGTGAAATTTAACCAGAGACAAGTACATCATTCTACGCTATGCTACTTCTGGGTATTAAAGCCAAAATGTCTGTTTCCAATAGAACATGCAAATATGACTTACTTTAAATGCATGAGGATCACAAAGAATCATCAAGTCAAAATTGGCCTGTGGTCTGAAGGGGAAATATGGCTTATGTCTCTCCTCTGACCCCCAGGTTCCTCCGCTCAAACTGTTGCGAATAATCTCATTCACACAATTTCCGCAGTTAAATCTGACATCAAAGTGAAATGCTATGTCACTGGCTCCTGCTGGGCTTTCCTGGATGTTTATTGTGAACCTTTCAAAAAAATTCATATAATAAGAGGCTCCTGGGCCGCAATGCTCACCCAAGTAATCATGGTCCTGCTGTTTTTGAGATAAAGATCTAGACTTTTAAAGATTTTTCCTATTTATTCCCTAGTAAAACCTTGATCATCTGTTCTGACCACACCCTTGCCCTTGGGACAGTTACTTCCTAAAACTTGAATCAAAAGATTTTAATTACATCTCTAATGGAAGAAAAGTAGAGATTTCTAAACTTGGGTACCTCCTATTGTGTGTTCTGTTCTACTGATACATGAATGTACATTTTTGAGGTCAAGCAACAGTATGTTTCATTCATGTTTTTTACCTGATCAGAAATTAATTTATCATAGAGATCTTATATATATAGCACCAGTCTACTGAGATCTTATATATATAGCACCTGTCTACTGAGATCTTATATATATAGCACCTGTCTACTGAGATCATATATATATAGCACCTGTCTACTGAGATCTTATATATATAGCACCTGTCTACTGAGATCTTACATATATAGCACCTGTCTACTGAGATCTTATATATATAGCACCTGTCTACTGAGATCTTACATATATAGCACCTGTCTACTGAGATCTTATATATATAGCACCTGTCTACTGAGATCTTATATATATAGCACCTGTCTACTGAGATCTTACATATATAGCACCTGTCTACTAAGACCTTATATCTATAGCACCTGTCTACTGAGATCTTACATATTATATAGCACCTGTCTACTGAGATCTTATATATATATAGCACCAGTCTACTGAGATCTTATATATATAGCACCTGTCTACTGAGATCTTATATATATATAGCACCAGTCTACTGAGATCTTATATATATAGCACCTGTCTACTGAGATATATATAGCACCTGTCTACTAAGACCTTATATATAGAGCACCTGTCTACTGAGATCTTATATATAGAGCACCTGTCTACTGAGATCTTATATATATAGCACCTGTCTACTGAGATCTTACATATATAGCACCAGTCTACTGAGATCTTATATATATAGCACCTGTCTACTGAGATCTTACATATATAGCACCTGTCTACTAAGACCTTATATCTATAGCACCTGTCTACTGAGATCTTACATATATAGCACCTGTCTACTGAGATCTTATATATATATAGCACCTGTCTACTGAGATCTTATATATATATAGCACCTGTCTACTGAGATCTTATATATATATAGCACCAGTCTACTGAGATCTTATATATATAGCACCTGTCTACTGAGATCTTATATATATAGCACCTGTCTACTGAGATATATATAGCACCTGTCTACTAAGACCTTATATATAGAGCACCTGTCTACTGAGATCTTAAATATAGAGCACCTGTGTACTGAGATCTTATATATATAGCACCTGTCTACTAAGATCTTATATATAGAGCACCTGTGAAAGAGATCTTGTATATATAACACCTGTCTACTAAGACCTTATATCTATAGCACCTGTCTACTGAGATCTTATATATATAGCACCTGTCTACTGAGATCTTACATATATAGCACCTGTCTACTGAGATATATATAGCACCTGTCTACTAAGACCTTATATATAGAGCACCTGTCTACTGAGATCTTATATATATAGCACCTGTCTACTGAGATCTTATATATAGCACCTGTCTACTGAGATCTTATATATATATAGCACCTGTCTACTGAGATCTTATATATAGAGCACCTGTCTACTGAGATCTTATATATAGAGCACCTGTCTACTGAGATCTTACATATATAGCACCTGTCTATTGAGATCTTATATATATAGCACCTGTCTACTGAGATCTTACATATATAGCACCAGTCTACTGAGATCTTATATATATAGCACCTGTCTACTGAGATCATATATATATATAGCACCTGTCTACTGAGATCTTACATATATAGCACCTGTCTACTAAGATCTTATATATATAGCACCTGTCTACTAAGACCTTATATATATAGCACCTGTCTACTGAGATCTTATATATATATAGCACCTGTCTACTGAGATCATATATATAGCACCTGTCTACTGCTCTGGTTATTCCAGAAATTAGGATGAGTCTGCCCACTTGAAGTCCACAAGGGGGAATCAGGCCTAGGTATGGGATGGGCTGAAACATACAAACATGGTTAGAGCATAGAGCATTCTCTAGTGATTCATCTAAATACAATAAAGTTACAATAAAAAATCGTCCAAAGGAACTAAGTTACAGTGGTGCTAAATATCAATTAATTTTATAAAGAAATAATGTACAACTCACGGGGTTGTAGATAGGAGCTGGCATCTGTGAAGGATAGCTGGCATTTGAAGGGTAGCTCAAACTGGGTGGTGAATAAGGAGCATCATATCTGATGAAGAAAATGGATGCACCTGGTGGAATCTGAAGTCTTTGTATTCTGTGCAATGGGATTCTGTGTTGATATTCTGTGAAATGTTTCCCATTCACTGCTACCTTTATTTCAATGACAATTACTACAAACTTACATGATATGTGTAATGATTTAACTAATGGTGAAAAAAAAAATAAAGCAAACATGCAAAAAAAATATCAGAAAGTTTCCTTGTGTCCTAATCTACAAATTATTTATTTTAAATTTTACATCTCATGTGCATATCACATTTTATTTCAACTTGCACCTTTCATAAAATATACCTTGAAGTGACTGTCCTGAACCAAAAAGATGATTTCAAATGGTTTTTCTTTTTGAAATGGCATTCCGCCATGTCTCTCCTCCTTCTGCCAATGGCCATTCTGTAATGTGTTCCGTACAACACAGTTCTGGCTGACACGTGGATTGAAGTGAAAGGCTATGTCTGCACTGTCACCACTCCCACATTTAAAATTAATGGCAAATCTGACAAAAAAGGTAAACAAGTCAAGAGTTATATCCAATTAGAAAATAAAAATATAATTTTAATAAGCTTAATGTTATTGAAAGACAGGGGGTAAATTACCCATCAGCTGTGTAGGGAATACTTCCTTGAATGAAGACTTGTTTTCCTGACTGAAGCCCCCCTGGTATGTCTCCATCAAATGGCAAGAGCTACAATAACAAAAGTAAAACTGGAGATGTTACTGTGTCACTTCACTCTGTTGGCTGTAAAGAAAAGATCTAAAACTTGAGGGTTTTGTTGGCTTAGGTTGGGGTGTAACAATATGGCTGAAACATATTAGTTACACAGTTTTGTAGTGACCATAGTGATGGGAATCGGTAAGAATTTCATAATCGATGATCAGGCTATTGTAACTAACTAATTATCAATTATAATCGGACATTTACAAAGTCTGTCCATTTAGTTTATTAAATGGAAAGAATGGGTGAATAACTACTTTTTGTGGTGGTCCAGCTGTAGGTAGAATAATCTAACTGTATCTCTGGACAAGCCCTAGTCCTTAGGATAATATATTTTAATGATAGAACGTTCTATCTAGTCCATCTGGTTCATCATTCATTTTGTAGAATCCAAAGTACGTTCTAGGAATGAGCGTTGTTACCCGGGTATGAATAAAATGTATGTTTGTCTGTGCCATTGCGATGCACAAATAAGTTAATAGACAAGTCGCAGCTGGAAAATTCGGCTTAAAAACTATTACGCTTGTAAAATAAAATAAATAACCCGATTAATCAGAATAGAAATTTTGTAATCGAGTGCTTGGATTATGCCAGCAATCAACTGATTTTCGATTATAATCAATGATTGGAACACCACTAAGTGACCAGGTACAGGATGATAACTGATTAGTAAATTTTATACCTGGCAAGGCAAAGCTAATAATCATTATTTTTAAAATTGTATCATCTATCATATTTTCATGCATTTTTGAGTTCGTTTCTGACAATATTGGGTGTTTCATGAGTGATCTCCTTCATTAAAAAAAAAATTTGAAAAAAAGTTCCCTGCCAACTGACCCTTTGATTTTTTTTTTTTTTTAATGTTACAGGAAACAAACATATAATTGTTTTGGCATAAGTATGGTGGCATATTTCCGCCACCACTTGTCAGATTACTATGTAGACTTGTCAGATAATTATGTCGACTTGTCAGATAATTGTGTTTACTTGTCAGATCTTTTTGTCGACTTGTCATTTATTCACTTGTTTAAAAACTCAACATGAAAATGTATCCATGTCCAGTGTGTGCCATTCAGTAGACATCATATTTTAATGACAAGTCGACAATAGGATCTGACAAGTCTTCCTAATTATCTGACAAGTTGACATTTAAATACAACAAATCAACATATTTAACTGACAAGTTAACAAAACATCCAACAAGTTGACATCATCATCTGACAAGTTGACACTAGTCAACTTGTCTGATAATTATGTCAACTTATCAGAAAATTATACTGACTTGTCAGATACATGTATCAGTTAGTTGCATTAACAAGCTTAAATATCAAGATACATGTACAGAGTTCCTAGACATGAAGATCATTATCTGACAAGTGAACATAAATATCTGACAATAGGGATGAAACGATACAACTTTTTCTATATCAATACGTATCACTATATTTGAGCCACGATACAATATGTATCACAATATGTTGAATTGATCATAAAATGTCTTTTTTGTATTGAAATGAACAAAACCTGTCTTCAAAAATAAGAATAATTTATTCAAATAAGTTGTATATCTGTTGTAAAACAAAATTATTTTACACAAGTGGTATTAATTATAAATGCATTTCATATTTAGCATATTTATTTTATAAATTAAACCCAAAATGTTAAGTAAACAAAGAAAAACATAATTCAGATTTTTTTGCGATATTTCGATATTTCTTCATACGTATTGATATGCGTATCGTCCTCACACATAATCGATATTATAGATATCTCGATATATCGTCCCAGCCCTCTCTGACAAGTCAACATATGTATCTGACAAGTTGACATAATTATCTGACAAGTCACATGGCAGAAATATGCCACCATAGCATAAGGCTTAGATTCACTCAATTAAGTTTGTATGTACAATGTACATAATTTTGTACAAGGTATAATTAAGACTTCTGAAGCACCTTAAACTCTGCACACAGAAGAATTCCTCTTTTACATTTACACACCGCTATCTATTCCTATCATTATCAAGCATTTTTTTACCAAAGAAAAGAAAAGAAGTCGTTATGTCCACTATGCACTTCATGATGTGTAACCATTAACGTTAAAAAACGAATTCATATTAGCAGCCATCATAACAATACCTTGATCTTTTCAATCATATCAAGTATATTGACTTCAGATCTGTTCTAGTAATTTTCTACATTTATGTATTGCATCAAATTTTCTACTACAGCTACAAAAAAATTACTGTACATCAAAAAACAAATATCATTAAAAAGAAAAAGACGTGTTGAAGAATCAAGAAGTTATTACACAGGCACTTGTTTCGTATATTGGGGTCACCCCTTTCTTTTTCTTACAATAATATGTATCGAGGTAATTTTCGAGGGATATTAATGTAAGTGGTTTACAATAAAGAGGCTTGACCAGAGATGTCTGAAACAATTTATTTGACAAGGAAAAAGTCTCTCGAAGCGAACAATGTCATTTTAAAGTAGGTTGATGATTGATATATTAACAAAATATGAGCTTGAAGCAGGGGTGCCTGAAATTGAGTTAGGTACCTTGTGGAAAGAAAAAGAAGGGGGTAACCCCATATACAAAACAAGTGCATGTGAGTTATTAGCGGAATGAGAATAAAAGCAAGATGCATAGAGTTTCGGCTTGTAAGTTAATGAAACTAAATATGATCGAAATGAATGCATAGGATATTCAATGTTTTTGTTTATTACATTTTCTTTGATTTTCCCTTTGCCTCTGTCTATTCTTAACACAGTGTCATAGGCCATGACATCATAGTTGAGCGGTTGAGACATCTTAGCTTTGCAGTTGTGAGATTGAAAAAATTGTAACATTCCTTTTAGCAACATAATTGGGAAGAAACTGGCAGTTTTAGTCTCTATCAAGATAGTTTAGTTACTATCTGTATCTTATGACAGGCCAGAAATTATTTTTTACTTACTTTGATATCCTTTCACACTGTGACAGAATATCACTTTGGTATCCTTTCACACTGTGAGAGAATATCACTTTTATTCAATAAATAAATCACAGTATTTCACTGTTGAAATATAATAAAAAGGCAGTTATCAATAAGGAGACAAAATAAAATTGTGTAAAAGTAAAATTACATACTAAGCAAGTTGTTGTGTTTCACATTATGTAAATATTAAATTATTACAGAGGTGCAGTTGAAGTAAGACATTAATATTTTCACATGTAAGGCCATCATTAAAAATATCTTTGTTTCCCCTAACCCGACCCTAAAATTTCAAGTTGAGTAGGTAGGTATATAAATAATTTTTTTTTTTTACAGCAGTTTTGAAAATACATTCTGAAAATTGAATAATATCTCTATAAATAAGAAAGAACAAAAGAAATCGATTTTTAAACCGAATATCAAACAAATAAAATTTAAAAGCAACATGTATGGTAAATTAATTCACATATATTATTCATTTGAACTGATCAGGCCAGCGTAAATTTATTGAAATTGATTTTATACAAAAAGACAAGATTCGCAAATACCCAATCATTGGCCCTCCGAGTATATTTTTTTCAAACCTACCATCTTCTAGTGCTTACACAGATAAAATGACGAGGGCCTTGCGTGGCGCAGTAATTCTAGTGTTTCGTTTTGGAGTCATGACGTAATTCAGAAGCTTATTCTAATTAAGTCACAGGTCCCGACGTGGGGCATGGAAACTGGTCAGTCGAATGAGACCGTAAAAAACGTAGGGCCATGTAGTGTCACAGTATACATGTAGATGTTGGCATGAAAAAGATTCCTTACTGATGCTTTATGATCAATGGCCATAAGTGCCAAGAAAAAGTCTAAATTAGGAGCCCTCTACCAGGCAGATGTTCAAATGTTGTCGACCCAGCAATTTTAAAGGTATTTTAAAGCAAAGAAACAACCTATTTTCAAGGGCCCAACTAAAGAAAAGAAAAATACAGTGGACGTATCAGGAAGCCGTACCATAAGCCAACTTTAAAGATTTCAACACTATTTGAAAAGAGTGTACCTGTATAAACAATACTGAATTCAACCAAACCATATCTAAAATGATTAAAGTTTCATTTATCTAATGTTTTAGTCACGAAGTTTACCCCATAAATAAAAGGAATGAAGAAACGACATCCGAACTATATTTATTAAGATGAAATAATTATACAGTTTGGTAAGATGTATTTACAACTCCTATGGTCCTATATAGTAAAAATAGAATCATACATGAAGCGTTTTTTTTTTTTTTTAAGATCGAAACGAATGAAATGCAGTGAAATTTATTGATATGCATACACAAAGTGGGCCCGTCATCTGCTCATGAGGTAGGCTTTGTCATGCTTAAATTACTATGTACGTTTATTTTAGAAGACACATTTGTAAATACCATCTTAACACTCCTTAGTCATGGTATATTTAATTCACGAAATGTTTCAAGAATGTAGGATTCTAATAAGTTAAAGATGTATTAGGATTGATACATCGCCGTTGTTTTATAACACTAAATAACCCTCTGTGGCCACATGCAGTGGGCGCCAAATGAGAGTAAAACAAAAGCCGCCGTTCTGATAAAAAACGAATTTTGATGAAATTGTATTTTATAAAGTTGATAAACAATAAAAATAAATATTTGAATAATCTTATTAAAAAACTTTTCAGTCGGCACGATTTAAGTGGGTCGGTCACGTTAGGGGAAACAAACCTATTTTTTACTTTGGCCTAATGATCCAAAAATATTTTTGTTTACTATCTAAGTTTTTAAAATTTGTATTATGTTTTTGTGCTTCATTTAGAATTTTGATTCTTTTTTCTTTGTAGAAACGACAATCTATATTCTATTAATCTATAAAAAAAAATGTATTTCATTTTCCACTATATTCAAATTACTTTTTTCATGTAAATTTTTAACAGCTGTTGAATTCTGTAAAGTTCAAAAAATGATTCAAATAAGTAAATTTTCAATTCAATTCAATTTATTTTAAGTAAATGGAAAATAATGTGAAAATTTACAAGATTATAAACACAATTTTAGAAAATCCTCAAACATGGCCCGCCAAAATATCAACAAACTCGAATCTTCTCCGATATCACTTTAATCGACGCAATAACCAGCTCTTGGGAGGTTTAGGTACTTAGACAGCTAAGAGAGCATGACATCTAATATACAGATTTCATACATACCGGGTTATCAACTCTTCCTATTGTTTGTGTCATATTGTAAACTGGGAAATACGCAGTATTCCAATTCTTTCTCCAGCTGCCCTAGATTTTCTAATTCTATGACGTTTTCCTTGAAAAGGGACAGATTCTACTTTCGTTTTATTTCATATTAATGTGTTCGGAAAGTCTCGAGAGTTATCATATACATCGGAAAAGTCCTCATCTGTGGACAGCGGACAAAATCGATTTAACGAAAGAAGCAGAACGTTCTATATCTTAACTACAACTAACTCAGATTCTAAGAGGTGTGTTTGGATTCGGTTGAAATTCGATCACCTCCACATGGGTGGATCCTTGGGGGGGGGGGGGGATATACCCACTGACCCACTCAACATCTTTTGTGACAAATAAAGACTTCAGTCTTGTCCAAGTACCCAAAGAAATATTTGAGGAAAACGGATGGCTTTCCTTCAGAGTACAGTTTCTTCAGCCAAGAAAATTTGACCCATTTATGTTTTCCCAATTATTTTTAACACCCCAAACAGATTTAATTATTAAGTAACAGTTTGTCTAGTGCAAAGAGAGACATCGATGCATTTTGTCTCTATATAGTACCCTTTTTAGTAATGTTTGTTTGTTTGTTTTTTTGCACTCTGAAGGAAATACGTTTTTTCGGGGAGGGGGGGGTCTTATTCATGTAATTTTATTTTACTCATCTAATTATTTATTTTTATGCTTGTACAGAACTCGAACATGCACATCTTAAGCTTAATGTTATTTACAAATTATTCAAAATGAAAAAATAAAGTACTGAGTATACGTATTATTAAAATGTTTATTGTTTGTATGGATTTCAACAAAATGCGTATGTAAAACAAGGCCCATATTCTTCCTCTAAATGTCCATCTGCCCTGTCACAGTAGAGTGCCCTCTAGGTACTCCAGGACTGGACGCATGACTAGCCGAAATCTGGAAAAAGAAAAAATGTACACAGTCTTGTCATTTCGCGCATAACATTATTTTATATTTATCACACACTTTTATTTCAATAATAGATTTAATCCTCAGAATATTGTACCGGGTATAATTATACCTAAACCTCCGCTGTTGTTGTCCCTTCTTTCCTGGTGTGTTAACAGGTGCTCTCACGCTCCGCAGACCAACCACCCTGTCCAAAGAAAAAATACGACATTAATTAGAAAGATGAAAAGTTCATTAAATTATTTAAATGAACAAGTATATTTTTATATAAATTAACTGTTATATAGTTGGTCTTACATTTGACAACGTCCCGGAATGGTGTCCACTACAATATAAGGTCCCACAGATTTCACTGGCATCTGACACTTATCCTCCGCGTCTTCTGAGCCCCTGTACGTAAAGGAGACACTTGGGTACCGCAGTCCGCTAAAGATTAAAAAAAAAATAGTGTAATTGCAGTCTCGCGAAATATGGATCAAGAGAGCGTATCTAAGGAAAATGAATTATTTTTCAAAATGTTTTTAACAAATACCGAAGTCCCGCGTGCATTTTCCTCCAGATCATCCTGTTAGGTCCTCTGAAACGACCTCGCAGGTCCACGATCTTGGCAATCCTAGGAAGAAAACAAAAACAGTACAATACTCCTCATTCTACTAATTGCCAGATCAAGATAGAAAAGTTATATGATGCATTTTTATTGGTCAAGATATGAGTTGTAATGTTTTGTTTATGAGGCCAAAATAAAAAATACCTTTGTTTCCCCTAACGCGACCGACCCACTTAAATCGTGCCGACTGAAAAGTTTTTTTAATAAGATTATTTAAATATTTTTTTTTATTATCAATTTATAAAATACAATTTCACGAAAATCCATTTTTTATCAGAACGGCGGCTTTTGTTTTACTCTCATTTGGTGCCGACAACATGTGGCCACAGAGGGTTAGTTCGTGTTCGTAAAACAATGGTGACGTATCAATCTTATATATCTTTAACTTATTAGAATCCTACACTCTTGAGACATCTCGTGAATTAATGTTCCATGACTAAGGAGTGTTAAGATGGTATTTAAAAATGTGTTTTCTTAAATTAACGTACGTAGTAAGCATAGCAAAACCTGCCTCATGAGTAGATGAGGGGCGCTCCTTGTGAATACATATCAATAAATTTCACTGCATTTGATTCATTTCGATCTAGTAAACAGTTCATGTAGGATCCTATTTTTACTACATAGGACCATAGGGGTTGTAAATATGTCTTTGTATGATTATTTCATTTGATAAATATAATTCAGATGTCGTTTCTTTATTCCGTTTATTTATGGGGTATTGACTCCGTGACTATAAAATTAGATATATGAAACTTTAATCATTTTAGATATGGTTTGGTTGAATTATATATTGTTTATACATGTACACTATTTCCAGAAAGTGTTGAAATCTTTAAAATGTGCTTATGATACGGCTTCCTGAAACGTCCAGTTTATTTTTCTTTAGTTAGGCCCTTGCAAACAGGTTGTTTCTTTGCTTTAAAATACCTTTAAAATTTGTTGGGCCGGTGGAGGGCTCCTAATTTAGACTTTTACTCGGCACTTATGGCCTTTGATCATTAAGCATCAGTAAGGGATCTTTTACGTGCCATCAACATGTATACTCCGACACTGGACCTAAGTTTTTTATGGTCTTATTCGACTGACCGTTCTACAAGTCCCACATCGGGACCTGTGACTTAGAATTAGCTCCCGAATTACGTCATGACTCCAAAACGAAATACTAGAATTACTGTGCCACGCGAGGCCCTTGACATTTTGTCTGTAAGTACTCGAAGATGATAGTAGGTTTGAAAAATGTACTCGAATGTCCGATGGTTCATAATTTGCGAATCTTGTGTTTTTTGTAAATATTCGATTTCAATAAATTTACGCTGGCCTGAGATATTTTACAAGTTCAAATGAATAATATTTGTGAATTAATTTACCATACATGTTGCTTCATTTGTATGATATTCGGTTTAAAAATTGGTTTCTTTTGTTCTTTCTTATTTATAAAGATATTACTCAATTTTTCAGAATGTATTCCCAAACCTGCTGTCGGAAAAAAATAATTTACCTACCTACCGACCCAACTTGAGATTTTTGGGTCGGGTTAGGGGAAACAAAGATATTTTTAATGATGGCCCGAACATTGTGAAATCCTTGCAGGTCTTTATAAAGCACTGTGATTTTCTCATTCTTGTGAAATAGATTAAAAAAATATTCCTAATAGTTGCCAAATATAGCAAGGGATATTTAAAAATATTTAAATGAACAGTGTGTACTCACATGACACACCCTTCTGGATCAGTAGACACTATGAGATCGTTACGGTTATACTTTGACTGGTACTCTGGACAAGGCCTCGGTGTAGTGTTTACTATTGTTGTTGAGGGAGCATGAGTTGTTGTTGACGTTGTTGTTGTTGTTGTTGTTTTTACTGGATCAGTTGCCATTGGAACTGTAGTCTCGACCTTGGTTGTCACCCTACTTGTTGTCATTGCTCTAGATAGTTCTACTTTGTTGTCTGTTGTTGATTGTGCTGTTGTCATCCTAATTGTACCTGTCACTGGTTTAGTTGTCTCTGTATTTATACCAGGTAACTGTACTGTCATTTGTATTGTGTTTTCCTCTGTTGTTTCTCCTGTTACACCTGCTTTTGCCGTTGATTCCACGATTAGAGAGGCTGCTTCAGAGCCAGAAATTGTTGAATTTTCGATGTCAATACTCGAGACCCCTGTTTCTATTGTAGACAATAAAGATGACCCACTTGGGACTGTCGTTGATTCCAGGGGCTCTTGCATTTTGTTTGTTGTCTTCAGGTGTTGACTTATTACTGTAGTAGCTCTTAAATTGGAGTTTGTTCCCTCTACTTCTGATGTCGTTTCTGCATTAACCATCGTGGTTTTGTCGCTATTTTTTGTTGACTCTATTTGGTTTTGGGTAGAAGTTTGATCGTCAGTTTCTGTTGAGACTGATTTAATATGGATGGGAGGTAAAACACTTTCTGTTGATATTTCAGGTGTGGAATCAGTGACTGAGATTGTTGGTTTGTTTGTTATTACAGGTGTGGAATCAGTGACTGAGACTGTTGGTTTGTTTGTTGTTTCAGGTGTGGAATCAGTGATTAGGACTGTTGGTTTGTTTGTTGCCTGTAAACTATTACTCGTGGTTGTAGACGCAGTGACTGCTGGTAAAGTAACCTGCTCTGTGATTTGAATCTGAGGGTTGATAACTTTGTCCATAGATGTCGTTGTCTCTGACACAGATTCCATTGCTGTTGATACGGAAGACCCTACACTGTTATTTTCTGTCTCAACTGAGATGGAAGGGATGGCTGTTGATGAAGTTGTTCGTCTTGCTGTTTCGAATGTGACAGTCTCAGTGATTCCTGGAGAATTACCTTTGAATTGTCCAGTTGATGAAGAGACTGGTGTTATACCATTGTCTGTTGAAGTTTGTGGAGTTCCACTTGTTCCTGAATTGAGAGACGCGACATCTATAGAGACAGTATCAAGGACATTCGTCACAGTGACAATATCGTTTGTTATTTTAGTAGGATCTGTGCTATTGACTTCCATTTTGACAGTACCGATATCGACAGAGGAGTCAATTGTACTGTCCATTATTAAATCAAAACCATCGGTTGAATTCGATAACATTCTCAAATCTTGTACATGACCTGAATCAGCGCTTGGTTGGATAAAGGAAGAGGATGAAATGTCTGTTGCAGCAGAAGTTGTGGTTGTAAAATTATCCAATATAACATCTAGTACAACCCCGTTCTCTTCAGTTTTTGTGATCAGCAAATTGTTTGATGAAACAGTGGTTTGAACGTCTGTATTTGATGGCTGGGCCGTCTGAAGAATTGTGTCGTTAACGTCAATATTGGACGACGCAGTAGTCGAATTGACTCGTTCAGCCTCTGTCACCGATTCTTTGACAACGAGGGAAGAGTTGGTCACTGAACTTAGTGTGGGTGTAGGGGAATCAGAAGGGATTTGTGAGGAGAACTTCTCTGTCGACTTGATTTCTGTCGAGGTCTGAGTGGTGTTATCTCTTGTCGACTCGGAAGCTATAGAAACACTTCCGGTAGAGTTCACGTCTATCAAATTTTCAAAGTTTTTCACAGACACAATTAATTTGTTGACTGTATCGGAGTATCCTGAACTTGAAGATGGGTCCTCAGTTTCATTGGAAATGACATGAATATTCTCATTAACTGTAACATTTTCAGAAACATTTCTATGGATTTCTGATTCTAATGAAGTAGATGAAACATTCGTTTCTGCTGAGATTCGTAAAGTAACATTTTCCTGAGGAAAATTCACCAGACCGTCATTCGTCGAGTCGACGACGTTGTCCAAGGTAATACCGTGACCAACTTCAAGATCGGAGTCAGTGTGAATTACACCGCTCCAAATGCAAGCAAAACCTGAAAAGGAAGGCACAGAAAAGATACCAAAATCAAAAAGACTGTGAAATTTTGAGAAAGAAATAGAAAAGACATGGGGAAAATGTCAAAATAAACTTACTAGAGAGTAAACAAAGTGTTGTAAGCCAACACGCCATGGTGCTAAACTAAAGCAGTGAATGCATTGGACCTCGGTACAGGCTATTATTTTATAGTTTTTCATCAACCAGTGATCGCCACCACGTCAGTAGGGTCGCCCTCGTCCACCGAGCCCCCAAGAATGACCAGACAAAACAACATCCCTTCTTGACATTTACGAGGTTTTCTTTGAACTTCACAGAATAATGTGTATTTATATGTATAAATAGCTTATACGCTTAAGATAATTTTATTAGTTACGCCAACTCCTTTATGAATGTGTATCTCTATTAAATAAATAAGATGATTTAGTGTTTATTGTGAATACTTATAACGCATAAAGTTTAGAATTTATTTGTAATTAATTATTTTTTGACAGGAAAATATATTAATGCCATTTTTTATACATTTTTATTATGAATTAAGTGTACATACAAAACATTACGTAAGATCACTCTCAGGGAATGAGATTTCATATATCATGATCGTATCTTTTATCTTCTTCGTTCCTTTTGAAATTTTCACTGTAGTAAATATCCGGCAACTTTTTACCGGTACTCTCTGTAAAAACAGTGAGAGAAAGCTAGATTTTTTGTCAAATTCAATTCTATTAATTATGTTAAAACTTTCTTATTTTAAATTCGTTTTGCGCGTGTTATCCTGAAAAGGGGCACAGGTAAAATGCACTATATGCTTTACATTTTTAATGATCCAATTTGTTGCATTATTTTGGCCATTTTTTTTTCAAGATAACAATTATAAGTTATTTCTTATTCATATGCATATCAAAACTTAACCAGTCTTTGATTCTTTTAGCCTTTTGCTTATTATATCAATATCGTTATTCTGTTGGGAACAGTATCTTCCCTGTGAAATCTTCCCTGTATAAGAAAATTTTTGGGGAAAAAACATTGCAACATAGCAATAGCATGTTATAAGTGAAATCTTTAAACATAAGCATATGAAGTGCGTAGTTGACACCAGCTCGTAACCGTGGAGTAAGTGTAACGGTCAACTCGGGCCAATGACAGACGTGACTTTTTTATGCGCCAGTTAAACACTGGAGACGGGAAACGATATCACCTTATCTTTTATGTAAAGCATATTACAGGAGACTTAAATTGTGATTGTTTTAACTTTATCCAGACTTCCATAAAAATTCCGAATTGGGGATTCCCCTAGCATTATTCCGTGTTCTTCAGACCACTTACACCTTTATGCATGAACCCATTGTTCGTTCATCTCGTCTTAATTTGACCAAATATGGATCTTGTTTTAAATCAATGTGCATATTAAACCGATTAGACATGCACAACGGGGTTATCAAATTAATGCACAAGAAGGCATCAAAGCTGATATTTTCTTGTGAATAAAATCTGGTCCAGCATCTCACTGGAACTCTGAAGCAATGAAATACTAGTATTTTTTAGCTTATCAAATATGAGCATATCTAACTTTACTAGTTGTGAAACATTTAGAAATTTCAATTTTGAGTATTATATATAATCCATAATTTCATAAAAAATTGACTATTACAAGTACCACATGCAGTAGCACCATTGCCTTGGCCTTGAAATAATCAAACTGAGCCCAGACCTAGCAACACCACCACCACCCTCGAAACAAAACATATGGGGCAACACTAGAACATTTTTTCCATTACCTATTTTGAAATGATTTATGATTATGTGTGTCAATACTACCGGTAGTTTTGTTTGATAAGAGAATGATATCTATAAAATGACACGCAATACCCTCGTGTTAAAAAAGTAAACAATAGTAATAATGGCGTTTGCACTTAGTGAAGTAAGTACCTGATTTTTTTAAGTTTACATTCACACAAAAAAATGTCATTTAAGCCTGCAACATTAGAATTATCTTGCTGTAAGTTTTAAGTTTTTAGGTTAAAATAATACAAAATTTAAATTTTGATAATTATATGAAAATAACATGCATTTTTTAAAAAAAATATTTCCTCCACATAATAACTTCATTTACAAAGAGACAGAATAATTCGAAGATATCTATATAATATATCGTTTGTATTAAGTCATGTAATGAAAGTGTTTTTATTAGGTATTTATTGACGCAATTTGTACAGTAATGAAATTTTGACATCCGCCAGCATCACATGATTGTTAAAAAAATTGCAATCCAAGTTGTAGATTATTTTGAAGTCTTTTTCAAGAACCTCTCAAAACACTTGATTAAGTGCATATCATTAGTCTTGAATATTTAAACAAAATATAGGTCTTTTTATTGATTTCTCCAATAGAAGTCAAACTATGTCGTCGCCATAGACTTTGGGACCACTTACTCCGGATTTGCAATTGCAAAAAATTACCCAGGTGCACAAATAGAGTGTAATAGATGGCCAATAATATCTGAGGGAAGAGATTGGCACAAAACTCCAACATGCATATTATTCAATGAAAAACTAGAGTTTGATTCATTTGGCTACAAGAGCGAAGACAAGTATGCAGACCTCCAGTCAAGGGATGAGCATGAAAACTGGTACTTCTTCAAATGTTTTAAAATGAAATTAAAAAAAGAAGAGGTGAGTGGTACGTGAACTATTTCATAATGCTCTGTATAAACATTAATTAACTTTCCTTGGCTAAAACTATTAATTAAAATTTATCAATTTTAGGAAAAGCTTTTGAAAGAAAGGAATCAGTGGGAATTGAATGATCATACAGATACGAAAAAAGTAAATGCAATAATTGTTTTCAAAGGAGCCATTGAATATATGAAGAATCAAGCACTTTCATCCATTAGAGAAAATGACAGAGAATCCGATATAAACGAAAGCACTATTTCTTGGATGTTAACAGTACCTGCAATTTGGTCAGATGTGGCAAAGAACTTTATGAGAAAAGCCGCTGAAGAGGTTAATATATTTTGACCACATAAGAAAGAAATGCAGATTCATAAAATGGTAAAATAGATCGTGTTCAAACATGTTGCAACAGAAACTTCTGAATCTTTTTAAGCTACAATTACTTATTATTGAATTATTAGAAATTAAAACAATGAGTATTGTCGTGTACTCATTATTTGAATTTCTAATAATTCAATAATAAGTAAACGACATGAGTATATGGATGGTTAGGTGGGTGAATGTGTGATGTTCTTTTTACTCCAGTACATAACAAATAAAGTCATTCTGCAGATGTATGTAATGTATATTTACATCATTTAAACTTCAGGCTGGTATACCTAGAAAGAAGCTAACCTTGGTATATGAACCAGAAATGGCTGCTGTGTGGTTTGTGAATGAAAATAAAATGGAAGTTCCTACTGGGACAAAATTTATCCTCGTCGATTTAGGAGGTGGGTTTCTTTAATTGCAACATCACATTTCTAATAGTTCGAAGTCGATGCATACAGCATTTTCTGCAATAAATGGTTAGGTTCACGTCATATTATTGTTAACCAAACTAAATTTTCTATATATAGAGAACTTTTAATGAAGGATTGAAGAATGAATTTATCATATACATGTTCTAAAGTTTACCTAATGTAATCAGAACTCGGTTTATATGTGCAGTAAAATTATTCCAGTTAATATACATTTCGTATTATAGGTGGAACTATTGACATAACAGTTCAAGAAGTGCTGCAGAACAACAAAATCCGACAATTAATTCCAGCTATGGGGGTAGCATGTGGTGGCACAACACTTGATGAATGTTTAACGCACACAATAGAAAAAAAGTTTGCCAACAATATTGATATGTTTCGCAAGAATGAGCCCAAAAAATATGTAAAACACCAAAGGAAAATAGAATTTATGAAAAGAAGTTATGGCAAGTCAGAAGGAAATTTCATTTTACACGTCTCAAAAAAATTAAGTAGATCGGAGACAGATCAACCTGTTACAATATCAGAGGAAGAATACAAAAGTTTCTTAGCTCCAGTTTTGGAGCAAATTGATAACATAATTGCGGAAATAGAAAAAATTAAGATATGTAAGCAAGTTTCTCATCTTGTGATCATCGGAGGATTTTCAGTTGATGCCCGAGTAAAAGGATACTTGCTTGAGAAATATCAATCGAAATACACTATTATAACCCCAGGCAATCCTGATCTGGCTGTTTTAAATGGCGCAGTACTTTTTGGACAACACGAATCTCTCATAACTGAAAGGGTTTGTAAATGTACATATGGGTTCGCCGTTTTTAAAAAATTTGATGAAACTCACAAAATTGAAAAGAAACATCAAAGAGGGGGAGTCACCATGGCGAAAGATTGCTTCAAGGTTGTGTTCCAGAAGGGAGAAAGAGTAACGGTCGATAAATCTTATAAGGAAATTCCAGTGTTTGATGAATTTGGGACTGATAGGGTTGTTAAACGCAAGGAGCCCATAGTTATATATATTTTCTCGTCTGAAGAAGAAAACCCTCAGTATACGGATGACCCATATTGCAAAAAACTATGTGAAATGAAAATGTATCCTCCCGGAGGCGAATGGCCCTCGAAGGTGAAGGGAAAAGTTAGGTTCAAAGTAGCGGGAACTGAATTTGAAGGAGAACTGTATGACAATCAAAATAATAAACAAGATGAATGTGTATTTGATTATTTGATTTGATTACCATAACAAAGTAAATGTGATGGGAAGGTATTCAAATTTTTGCATTGGAGATTTTTATTTTTACAGTTTTTCCCCCACTGAATGATAGGAATTCCAAATAGGACAGAAACATTTCTTGTTTATGTTAGAAAAAATATTTTGTATGGTCCACTTGCTGATTTTTTTTTATACAATGCATGTATTTGCCTGTGTTTTTTGAGCAAATCAAACAGGCATGTAGTTACCAATCTGATTTATTTGAACTAAAGTTAAACCAAGCCACTGAACGCAAGGTATTTTGTTCTCTTGTTGTATCTAAACGAGAGCAAAAATATGACCTTATACACTGTAGTTAATGATTTACATTTGACACTACACAGAAAAATCCTTGTAACTTCTGTAAAATTACTAGTATTTTTTTTATTTTTAGTTTTATTATTATTATTTTTTTTTATTTAATTTTTTTTATTAAGAGGTTAAATGAGATGTTTAGGCGAATTTACTGCCATTCAAAATTACATAATAACTCGAAATCCAAAGTGAAAGAAAAATAATAAAACTTGGGGCACCAACAGTAATTTCGCTGTTATTTCAAAGCGGAAAACAATAATTCCCCGTTTTTCAGAGAGGTCTGAGAAGATGCGATTGCGATTGCGTTCACATGTCACATGTATGAATTAGTTATTAAAAATTATTGATGATTTACATATGTAATTAACTCTTCTGTTGACAAATGCACAAAATCAACTTTACACATCATGACAGGATTTCCTAGGGTATTTGCGAAAATTCTGAACCATTGAATACGTGAAGTCAAACTATCAAGATTATTTTGGAACGAGGTAATGAAGCAGATAAAATGTCTGTGGTTTCGATTGTTTACGAAATGGGAGAAACGGGTTTTGAATGCAAAACTTCACAGTTCATAGACGAAAAAATGATCTGAGATCCTTGTCAATAGTTCTACTATTTTGCAAAATAACAATTTTACCTTCAATTATTTCAGCAAAACTGTTTTGTTTTGTTTTTTGTATTCCAATGAAGCAGAATTTATTCACTATGCATGAAAAGAAATAATTTGCTTTGGCATACATTTCAATACATACATGTAGATACTAGTATATCGACGAGTTTTGTCAATTAACAATATTCATTTTCATTCATACGTTGATTCAGTAGATCCACCCGATCCGATCCCATTGAACTCGAAATAAAGGACACTACAGAGTCTGACACACCGGTTTCATATTTGGATGTTTTACTAGAAAGACACTGATGGCAAACTAACAAATAAACTCTGATAAACGTGATCATTCACTTTCCAACCTTAATTTCCAGTATTCTATCACCTGCTGCATATAGTGTTTTTGTCTCCTTGATTCGATACGCAAGAGCATGTTTTGGGTAAAAATATTTAAACCGAGGCAGGCTACTGACAATTACATATGCAAGATGATACAAGGACATTAATATCTATTTTGAGTGCAATATTTCGCAAACTCTATTGTCGATACAATGACCTTGTTCGCAAGTATATTTTTGTTGTTAAATCGAATGTTGACGGACTTTAGGATTCAAATTGTTAGGCCATTATTTTCACACTGAATTTTCTAACTATTTCTAAGTTTACTAGTAGGGGTGAAACGATACACCTCCTTCACGGTTCGATACGTATTGTATAATTTTGTCTCGGTTCGGTTATTTTCGATACGATACATTTTGATAGAAGGAAACAAATTCTACGTTGTTTTATGCTTTCTTTTTCTAAATCTAGTCACATATTTTACGAATTTTATTTGCAAATTGACTAGAAGAAATTGATTAAAATTATTTGACTGTCAAAAATTATTTTACAAGCTATCAGTCATCAAAAATTTACGTTTTCTATACTTATTTATTCTGAGTAACCATGGTAACGTGTTATACCTTATGCCAAACCCGACTGAATAACGATCCCGACCGAAAAATGAACCGAACCGAAAATTAGAGATTTTGCACCGTGTATCAAACCGAGAAAAAATACCGCGGTGCATCGATACCGCGGTGAACCGTTTCACTCCTATTTACTAGATCACGACCAAGGGACTTACCTCACGGTTGGGGTGATTGGTCGAAGGGGATGCTTGTTTCTCCGTGACATCTGATCTCACTTCTGATATTTTTAGGGTCTCTGTTTCCTCTGCTTTCAATTTTTATCGTTTCATTGAACTTAGCTTCTGAGCACGATTAAATATCACTGTTTGATATCTCCACATTTCAATGTATCTGTATCTGGGGTTGAATAAATTTCTTTTCCTACCTGCATTTTTTTTTTGGTGGTAAAATTTTCCGAAACTACCTCAGAGTCATGCACATTTTATTCCTTTATTTTTATAGGAAATACACTGTATTTAAAGCAACAACTGCCAATGCAAAATGAAATACGTTTACATTTATAGGGTTCTCCTTTAAATTAAGAGGAAGTAAATTTTCAAGTGCGATCAACATGTTCAAAACGGGAAACTGACTATAAAAGGAACAAATTTTATACATTATATGCATTCATTATATTTTAAAAAGTGTGGAAATGTTCTTTTTCTCTAAAATGAACACAGACATAAGTAGTATTCCGAATAATTTTTTAAAGAGTATTTTCATAATGTTTTTTTTTAGACATAAGTACAAAATTATTTTCTTATAACATTGGTTTTGCAATTTAAATATCAAGATTTTACGATATTAAAATATTTGAAACTATTCCAGAGAGAGTGTACAAAAGCTTCATGACGCGGGCACTTACAGTAAATATGAAAAATTCAATCTTTCGTGTTTATTACAAATCAACTGAGGGTGTCAATTTACATGTTCACTTCAAAAGTCTATCCTGCGGTTATCACATGCGGTAAAAAAAAACGACATTAGAATAAATAAGAATAAATTAAAGTAAATATCTTAAAATTGTTAATACATATACAGATATTGAAATAAATATATTTATGTCAAACAAATTTGGATCCAATAAATTAAATGTTAAAACATATTGATTGTAAAAATATCAACAGTAAAAATATCTCTATTACACAATGAAATAATTTATATAGATGACAAGCAAGTAAAAATGTATACAATAATCAATAGTTAATAAATTAATCAAATTATTAAATTTATATCATACAGATGTCTAGGGACTTCAATGATAAAGTGTGATGAAGGGATTTCAAGAGATGTAGATCTCGCAAAATGGTAGCTTAATATGGTAAGTGATTAATCACACAACAAGTCTAGATAATGTTTGATATGTTTCGGTAAAGGAAGTGAGAAAATGATATCGGGTAGGATGGATGTGAATGCACATCTCCCCTGAAGAGATCGGCGAATCACGCACCTGCTGAGGTGCTGTAGAGATCTCGGACTGGACAACTGGGTCATATCCAGACAGTTTGCCAGGCTAGGATGGAGGTAATACACCTTGTCCCTAGACCCTAGGCTCTGATTCTCTTCATCCTCAGTATGATCCTGGGGCCGGAATTCCCGACTCTCCATCATGTTAATGTGGGGGACAACACGACAGAGGTATTCCAAACATAGCATCCCTCGATTCTCTTCATCAGAGAGGGCTTCTTTGGTCTCCTGGGAAAACTCTGAGTTTTTAAACATGGTTATGCTATTAAGTCCATCGATCAAATTTTCTATCGGGTCGCAGAAGGAGGGGTTGACAAACCCTTGCGCACAGTGAAAAGGGTCTGCTCCATACCGCAGAAGCAGAAGAACCAACTCAGGATCCCGCCTCATTGTTGCTGCTAATAAAGGAGTAAACGATTGACCCACATCAAATTCTCGGTTCAGAATAAATCCGACAGTGGATGGCTGACACACTAAATCAGAAGATTGACATATATGCCGAAGATAAAATTCAAAAGCTTCCAATATGCCCTGTCTTCTAACCTTTGCTTTCAAACCTGGATAAAGCACGTGTATATTGTTGTTTATACGGCATGTGTTTCGAATCACGTGTCCAGGAAGAAGAATGCTAAAAATAGATTGCAGGTTCCCCTCGCATTTGAAAATTTCAACGATGATATCATTTATTAACTCTTTATCATCCAGATTTCTCTCAAAACACATTCTCAGATATGTATAAAGAAATCTGTGCTCTCGACAAGTGCCTTTTAAACGGCGTCGATATTTATGTGTGTTCACATTTTCAACAATGTCGATTTCACCTCTGACGTCACGATCCGGGTTTTCCCCATGTTTACATCTCTTTGTTGAACTGTCAGAGCGTTTACTGAAATCGCTTCTGTGTCCAGCTCTTCTTCGAGCCGAATGAAAAAATCTCATTGCTTAATCTATATTAATATGTTCAGTCCATCATATGAAGTTACTTACATTTCATTTAATACACCAAAAGCCGTACAGTTGAGTGATCCTCGAGATAATACGTGTCTTCCACCTTTCGTGACCGCTGAACAAAGTTCATTCACCCAGCTGTGCCTTTTTCTGCTAATTATATGTAATATCTTTTTTCCTTTTGTATGAAAATGTCACTAACTAGTTTAGAAACATTAGCTAAAGGGCTTGCTGGTGATCCACTCGTCGGATTTCCTTGTCCTGCTGGGTAGCTGTTTTAACATGTACAAATACGGCAGACGACAGGCTTCGTGACGTAGAGTCAGGCCCGATCTTGTCCATATGCTGCAAAATTATAAAATATGTCTTTAAAATTTACATACATGTATATCACTCAAAGATAAAAAGGATTTTAAAATTGTATTTTTCTTTGGCATTAAAAAAATGTTTTTCGGATATTCGTGTAATCAGAGACGTAATTTAGAATTCTTTGAGTTATCTCCCGTTTGCCAGCTAAATCATGACATGCGAAGTAAAGCTACCAACATGAATTAAGACTTCGAACGTTGGACTGCACTTGAAATATTTTTATGTTTATTTGAACCCCTCCCCCCATTTTTATGTAATTATGCTGCATTTTATTAAGCCTAAAATAAAGTTTGTTTTCAGAATTTTCGTCATTTGGGTGG